TATGAAGCTCAGATAGTGACAAGCTACAATGATGATGCATTCAGCTCGAGTAACTTCCATCACAGGACAATACAACTGGCAAGGCTAAATGGATTCAATGAGTCAGAAATTGACCAAAATCTCTTTTGTCCACACACGGCTCACTGGCATAATCGACACGTGTACCCTCGAGATTTTGTTGAAGAGATACGACAAATACTTTTGGGTTTCCATGATCAGTACGCGTGGCCCCGTTCAAATCGTGACCATCCAATCTACCGAGTTGAAAGAAAGAGATACCAAGTCAGGTATTTCATCCCTAGCCATGGAATCTCCTTTATGCATGACGTCTCTGACAGTGAAGAAGAAGACGACAATGGATAAGATATAAGTCACCTCTCTTTTGGAGACAGGGGGAAATGGAGTGAAGTATCAAGCAAAGTATTGATGTGAAATAAATAAAGACATGATGTGAAATATCAAGCAAAGTATTGATGTGAAATATGGTGTGAAGTAAAGTATTGATGTGTATTATGGTGTGAAGTAAAGTATGTATAATAAGTGTGAAGAAAGGAATATGCCATGTAATATTCCTTATGTTATGCACTATAAATAAGGAGCTTGGTGAGGCTTGTTCACGATAAGCTGAAGTATCTAAAATCCTAAGTCCTAAAGAGTCCTTTGTATTCTCTTGAGTGTGTTTTTATAATAAAGCTTTCTCTTATATATATATATACTCTCTTCCATAAACACTTATATATTTGATTCATATATCTCGATCCTATAATACCTCCTACGTGGTTGTACCCACTATGTGTCTGTAAATTTGGTATCAGAGCCATGGCAGTCTAAGCTTTGACTCTTCGATACCTAAGAGGTAGTACGCCATAGCGTTGTTTTCTATTATATGCTTTGCATGGAAAATATGCTCTGTGGTTGCCATTTTTAATGGATCCTCCACATCAGAAATCTTGCTAAGTTTGAATAAAAGATCTAAAGAAAGGGTCCGTGAGGTTGTAATGCTCGAAGTACCTTGAGGCTTTATTGATGATGAAAGTTGTTTGCCTCGGTTTGCATAGCTAATACCTCATGATCATTTCTTTACGTTCTTAGCACTTAATAGTCCCATGAAAACAACTTATGGATTGTTACTACTTTGAAGATTGAGAAGAAGTTATTAGCTTTCTGTCTTGGTTTCTGGACTTTTTATCTATTATGGAAAATATGTCAACTTTGTCCAAAACACCTTCTTTCCGCAAATCCACCTCTAAAAAAGTAGATTATTTATATGAAATAGAGTATATGAGTGATGAGAGTAAAGTTCCTATTACCCAGCTTCCTTTGCTAAATCCTTATAAAGCCTTCTCTAAGCCAAGTTCCACTTTTCCTAAAGCCATTAGACAAGTGTTTGTACCTAACAAACATACTGCTAAAGAACTCGTTCTAGCATCTCCTCTAGAACAGTTTTTAGTCCCTGCAACGGAAGCGGAGCAAATGGTTCCTCTTTGCCTTAATGAAGGAATGATACACCATTGGCGAAGTCTTGGCTATACACACCTCCACTATGGAGCCATCCGCCTAGCCTTAACCCTTCATGGTAGAAAAGGCTTACCGGTTGTAGCAAGAGTCGCTCTCCTCGACACCAGATACAGAGAGTACCAACATGCATGCATAGCAACTATCCAGACGACGCTAAATGTTGGCACTGTGTTCGTGACTCTTTTCCCAAACTTTAACGTGGCTCTAGAAGACCCACAAATCTGTCAGAACATGCAGATCCAGCTACAAATTACTGGCGCTCCACAAATCGGAAACACGTATGCAGCAACCCTGCACCACCAAATGGCGTATAGAGTCCAGAATCATGCTATGGATCTAAGTCTTCCACGTGAAACTGAAGACGCTTTGCTCATCCAACTTGAGTCACAACATAGTCCATCATGCATTCACATTCCAAGACAAATCCCAAGAAGCGAATTAGTCAAGCTACTTCCAGAATCATGGGTGACAAACTATGAAAAACTCCATGAGAGAAGTACCCCTATACAATCAGTGGATTCTTCTATCCACAGAAGAAAAGATGGAGCTGTAGAAATCGCGTTCAAAGCACAAGAAGAAAAATCAAGACCAGCAGCTTTTTGCACTGAAATCAACATGATCACTCCTGCTTGCGAAAAACCGTTTATGGAGATAGATTCTCGTTTACCCGGCGTTCCAATCTCTTCCTTCGACTCGCTTGGAAACCTTGTATACGCATTCATGGATGACGATGGCCACAAATTCTTTGATGTTTGTGATTGTCAGAAATGCCTAGAAGATGACTCTGAGGAGGAAGAAGTTCAAAGGAGAAAACGAGGACGAAAATCTTCACAACAAATTCTCAAAGAACGATATGAATCAAGAGATCCCCAGGTTGGACTTTTTGGAGAGCCAAGTAGTGGAAAATTCGATTACTATGTTTTGTATTCGAATGGTTACACCCCAGCAACTCCAGATAGGGAAGAACCACCATAGTCAAATCTTCCCATGCTCTCGTGGGGACTAATTAGGCAGAACATCCAAAGATTAAGATTCTATGGTCTAAAACAAAACAAAAAAATTGTATGGTCTATGGCAAAAGATAGAAAGCATTGGAGTACGTGTCACGTATGCACAAAGACTAGTCTTATCGCTTCACCGTATACGTAACGGCTTCAATAGCAAAACAACTTGAAACCTTTTTTTTTTTGCTTGTTAGAAAAACCATTTGACAGATTAATAATTAATTTCTTTGAAATGAAATTGGAGCTGATCTTCATACCATCACCAGGTGAAGGACACATCCGACCACTAGTGGAGGTGGCTAAGCTTCTTGTCGACCGCGATGATCATCTCTCCATCACCATCCTCATCATCCCTCAGATTCATGGATTCAGTAGCGGCGGCTCCGACTCCTACATCTCTTCTCTCTCCTCCTTGTCTGAAGACCGCCTTCGCTATCACATACTCTCTGTCGCCGATAAACCAAACTCCGATGACTCCAAACCAAATTTCCTCACCTACCTAGATAGCTTCAAGCCGCAAGTGCTTGCGACGGTGAAAAAAATTATTGACACGGCTCAAATAGAGTCGAAGCCGCCGCCTCGACTTGCTGGATTTGTGGTTGATATGTTCTGCATGGCCATGATTGATGTAGCCAACGAGTTCGGCGTCCCGAGTTACATGTTCTTCACTTCCAACGCTACGTTTCTTGGATTGCAGGTTCATGTTCAGTACCTTCACGACGTTAAGAACTATGACGTCAGTGATATAAAGGACTCGGACACCTCTGAGTTAGAGATCCCGACTCTGACTCGTCCTTTACCGGTTAAGTCTTTCCCCTCCGTGATGTTAAGCAAGGAGTGGTTACCGATTATGTTTACCCAAACTAGAAGGTTCCGAGAAACTAAAGGTATTTTGGTTAATACTTTCGCAGAGCTTGAGCCTCAAGCTATGAAGTTTTTCTCCGGTGGAGATAGTCCTCTTCCTACGGTGTACACAGTTGGACCAATTTTGAATCTCAAAATCAATACTCCAACTTCAGAAGACGATAAGCAATCAGAGGTCTTACGGTGGCTCGACGAGCAGCCGAGTAAATCTGTTGTGTTCCTCTGTTTTGGAAGCATGGGAGGTTTCCGTGAGGACCAAGCTAGGGCAATCGCAATCGCACTTGAGCGAAGTGGTCACAGATTCGTCTGGTCTCTTCGTCGTGCTATGCCAAAGGGAACGATGGGACCTCCCGGAGACTTCACGAACCTTGAGGAGATTCTCCCGGAAGGATTCTTAGAACGGACGGCAGAGATCGGTAAGATTATAGGTTGGGCTCCTCAGAGCGCCATACTAGCAAATCCTGCGATAGGAGGGTTCGTATCGCACTGTGGTTGGAACTCGACACTAGAGAGTCTATGGTTCGGAGTTCCAATAGCCACGTGGCCGCTTTATGCCGAGCAACAAGTTAACGCGTTCCAGATGGTTGAGGAGCTAGGGTTAGCTGTGGAGATCCGAAATAGTTACCGGGGAGACTTTATGGAGATGGAGTCGGAGTTGATGACGGCGGAGGAGATAGAGAAAGGGATCAAGTGTTTGATGGAAGAGGATAGTGACGTGAGGAATAAAGTGAAGGAGATGAGTGAGAAGAGCCACATAGCTTTAATGGATGGTGGATCATCGCATGTTTCTCTTCTAAAGTTCATTCAAGATGTAACTAAGAATATCCCTTGAATCTTTACAAATCTTACATAACATTATCATATATTTCCATGATTTAGTAGTGGCTGTATCTAAGTTACCAATTTCGTCAAATATAAGCTTAAGTAACGCTTGTATTTTATCTCATATAAAATTGCATATATGTCATAGTTATGGATTTGTGAATGAATACAAGAAAAAAAAAAAAAAGTGAAGCTTTAAATGATCAGGATAATGAAGTTTAGGGATCTGAGTAAATGACTCTAGGCGTTATCTAGCGCTTTGATGAAATCTGTTTTGGTTTGTATCCTTTTTGGTCTATCTACCAAATCAAAATAAACATAAAAGTAATATAACTATTCCCAATTATGATTAGAGTTAACATTAGAGGTAGATGTCCCACCTTTCTGGTCTATCTTAATAAAAGATGATGTAAAAATTGTTAGTATTAAAGAGTATTAATTGCTATGAAAACATGTGTCGGCATAATATTTGTTGTTTACTCATATGGTTGATTAAAATTATTTAGTTTCTATGATTGGAAAATTAGTCTATATTATATATATATATATATGTGTAACTTAGAAATATATATACAAAAAGATGTGAAAACTGTTATTGTTATTACATAGTGCTATTTGTTATGAAACATTTGTCAATGTAAAGCATGTTATTTACTCGTCTAAAAGGTTAAAAATAGTCTCTCTTTTTTTTTGTGACTGGAAAAGTGTCATATATATGAATAATTATAGCAATATATGTATATATATATATATAATATGATATGAAAACTGTTATTATTTATTAAACTTTACTAATTTGTTATGAAAATATTTTTTTTTTGGGTTCTTTACTCATATGATTGATAAAAATAGTTAATTTCATTGATGGAAAATGACTTTATAGAAAATAAATTTAGCAATATAACAATAAATACAAAGTTATACGAAATCTCAAAAACGAGTTGTAATTTTTAAAGCTTATCCTTTTTAAAATTTTTATAGATATGTATGACTGTATTTTCTAAAATTTTATCTACATATTTACAATCAACTTTTTTTCTTTCTTACATATAAATTCAGTCACCAAATTTCTAAACTTCTAAATTTCTTAACTTCTAAACTTTGTACTTTCAAAGAAGAAAATACAATGGAAGGCCAAAGAATCAGTGTTAACCGTGCTCCTTGTGCTATGTGTACCACCAAAAATAAAGTCTGCCGTCGAAATTGCAAGTCTGCACTTTATTTTCCTGCAGAAAAGTATTACTTCTATCATATATAATTATTTTATTACATTATTTCTTATATTTATGATCGAGATAATTACTAAAACCATTTTATATTAAATTTTATTGTTTAATAGACAAAGGGAGTATGAAAGTGCACATGAGTTATTTGGTACGCCAACTATTATGAGAATGATGCGATCCGCAGATGATGAAGAAGAAATGAGCATGTTGGCATCGTCCATACTCATGGAAGGTGAAGCTTGGACAAAAGATCCAGTGAAAGGTGCATTTGGAATTATCCAAAAACTAAAGTGGAAAATTGCAATGCGCAAGATCTACCTTGATGAACTACATGAGAAGATTAAAGCTGTTAGAAAAGAAACCAAACTCGGTCTTTAAGTTAATGATTTAGTATGTTGCATATCATTTATGGATATAGCATGTACTATATCATTTATCTATTATGTATTTGAAAATTTTATGATCCTGCGAAGAAAAATAATAATTAGAAATATATGTCGAGTATAGACAATTTATATGATTACTTTTAATAGATAATCGTTCTAATTTAATTTAGTGCATGTAGATGATCATCATAAGTGAGAATTCTACATCCTAGAAAGAGATACTGTACACACAAAAGCAAAAGTTAAAAAAATTATTGAAAATTTGAAATCTACTAGGTGAATATCGAAAGATAACGCGCGAACTGCATTATAACTATATTTTGAATTTTATTTGATTTTAAATATTTATATCAATTTAGATACCATATTTGAAGCTACTAGAAAATTTTACCGTTGTTTATAATTTCAAAATTTTCAATTTTTGAAAAATAAATCAAATACCATCGAGGTATCGATGTGATTGTTAAGTAAGTCTTAGACTGTTAGTTCTTGTAAGGTTCTTTTAATCTTTAAGTGTAAAGCCTTTGTCAACCTATTGTTGTGACTTGTGAGTGTTTTGTTCTTTTGTCTATTACTATGAACATTTTTGCTTCTAATTTCTAAGTTATGATACATTGATGTTTGCCATTGTTTGATTCGTGATGAGAATGATAAGAACATCATTAATGGTAGCGCCAGACTTAAATTTCCTCAAGAGAATATATTATATAAGAAGCGTACACGTGGCAGAATTTTATTGGGTAGTAAGATAAATAAATATATATATTTTTTGTTATGTAGTAGGATAAATATATAAGGGAAAAAAACATTTTTCTTAATTTTTCCCTACTTTCTTTCTTTCCTTAATTTTATATTATGTATGTTTTAAATTTTAAATTTTGCAATAATTATAAAGTTTTCTCAAATTATAAATTTAATTTAATCTATTTTTTAAATAATGTTTTTTCCTTAAAATACCCAACTTAAAATCCTACCAATAAACACATCTCAAAACTAGAAACAAAAATATAACTCTTAACACTTACTTTTTCAAATTTAATAATTAATTAATACTGAGATAATAAAAAATTAACATTTCCTTGATAATGTTGCTCTATTAAGGATGCCCTAAGAATAGTATCAACATGTTGGCCAATAATATTATTACTACAATATCATGGATTATGGACCAAACACTAGTAGATAATATGGCCTTATGGGCCTTGTTTTATCTCCACTTCCTCTATTCCTCCGTTATTGGAGTTGAAGCTATTAACCTCACCAGCCTAAAACTAGACGACATTGTATATTTCCAAATGGAACTATAAGAACTTTGTAAAATTTGAAATAGTATAGTCTCTCACATACTTAGTGGGGAAGTTAGTAGCCTTATAGCTGTCTGCATATTGACATTGGTTTCATTTATTTAATTGTAGGAAATAATAGTTTAAAACGTAAAAGATAAAGATATTGAATGATTAAAAAGAGATGAATCAAAAGTCTCGCAAGACTCTCAAGCCAAGCAAAATATTATTTCTACGCCAGTACCCCAATTGGTGATCACAGTTGTTAGACAGATTCAGTGATTAGTAGATATTTTATAAGGATGATGATTTCGTACACTTTTCATTTTACTATTGAAAACTGAACTTTTTAGTTAATCAACTTAAATCTTAACTCACAGTCATAAACTCTTGGGCTCGTATGCAAACAAAGCAATCTTGATTGTATACCAAGCATTTCCATTTTCAATGAATATTTACATTCTTAGCAGAAAAATATAAAAACAAGATGGGTTTATTACTTTCATGTACTTTTATCTTCTTTTAAAATAATTTGGTGTTAAGGCATTAAGCATTGAACTCTGACTAATTAAACTTTCTCTTTAAAAAAAAAAGAAATTTGTTGAAGGGTTTTCTTAATTAAAGAAATAAATGCCTTATACATTTTTTATCAAAAAAAAAAAAGACTTAAGAGAACCAACTTCGAAACTCTGTAAAGGGGACCTGCCAACAACTATGTGCCAAACAAGAGGAAGTAGATATATGAAAATCTTTATTTGGTATTATATTAGGTCAAATATCCTAGCACCTTTTGAATTTCTTAATCCATATAATCGATACTAAGTCATTAATTAACCCTAATTGCATATATATATATATATATATCATTAGGTATTGAGTCTCAGCCATTACAGAACAACTTTTACTTTTCAAGAAGTTTTATCGGTTTCGTAAAATAAAAAAAAAATAAAAAAAACCAAATATATGCTTAACTTTAAGTGACTTCCAAACAATTGTGTTGTGTAATCTTGTAGCTGGAAGCCTGGAACCCTGCTTTGTTATTTACTAGTTTCTTCTACGATTCAGTTTTTGGTTTTAGATGAAACTTCAGTTCCCTAGCAATCTTCCTAATTGTTTCTATTAATGCCTCAAGTTTATAATTCTAAGATGACATTAACATATAAGAGAGACGACGGTAAGGTTTTGGCGATAATAATTAAACACTAACACAAGACAGGTGAAAATATACAAAAACATATTACAAGTAAACATATTGTATCATAAAACTGCAACTTCATTGTGATATTTTGGCTCTTTACTAAGTTATTTTGTCGTTCCTTAAAAGCTATATATAATTTTATTTTGACCGTAGAAGACAAGGTGGATATCAAATCTAAGTAAATAGAGTGTGTCGTCAACTTTTGCTGAATATGTATCGATGCTTCTTCCAAACATAATATAAGCTTGTATATATGTTATAGTTTTACTTTTTTTCTTTTTACGATATTATTACGTCTCTTAAATCTCTATGTAAAGTAATGTCAAGTAATGTCAATTCATTAACATTTCAAGAATATAAGAATACCGTTTCCTTATCCATTATACCAATATATATAATATAAAGAATGAATATTATATATGACTTTAAATTTATGGCTAAAATCTGCATGAAAGTTCGTAATGGCATCCAGGGAGGTGAAAGGAAAAAGAATAAATTATTTTCTAGACCCAATTTTTCCATTGTTTTTTTTTTCACCCAATTTTTCCATGTGTTGAATCTTTCGTGTGTATAATTTAATTATTTCTCTCTTAGGGGTTTTCGTTATTATAAGTTAATCTATACGTGCATATATTCGATTTATTTGTATAAGTGGGGAAGAATGTGTTAGTGGGTTTAGGTGATTATGCGTCGGTATCTTTCCTTTTCATTGTTCCTTCTTTTTCCTTTAGCCATTTCTATTTGTTCATTAAATTAAAAAGTGAAAAAAGTATCTTTGATAACTAAAATATTAAACGATGTTGAAAATATTGTTCTGATGATCCGGTCTTTTTTCTTATTACAGCTGCCTAGCAGCATTGATCTTTGTCATCGTTACTTAATTACAAATTTTGGTTTTAAACACGAATACTAAGATTAAGAAAAAAGTCAGACTTTACACAAGTTGTGGACTGTTGACAATATGTCTAGGCTACGAATCATCCATTTCCTTAAGTCACTCACCATATATAATTGGGGTCTATCATCTACAAAGACTACAATATTACTATTTGTTAAAGTTTTGTTGAACATTTTCTTCTCCATTGTATAATTTTGATGTGCTATCTATCAATCCGACATCCAGAATAAAACATGTGGGAAAAAAGTGAGATGTTTTTACTATTCAGTATCTCCACGGTGAATAAATTTCTTTGCTTTTTGGTGGTAATATTCACATGTGTGATTGATAGATTAGAAATTTATGTTTATTTTGACTAAATTTATGATTATTTTAAATGAATTTTATCCGATAAATGGTTTATCTTCAGCCACTTTAGCTATTTCTCCGTAATTATGTAATTATGTTCTAATACAATTTATCCCAAAAAAAAAGAAAAATTTCACAACAAAATAAAAAAACATCCATTTAACTTTTATAACAAAGATTTTTAACAATATATAATTATCGATGGACCAAAGAAGAGACACATAATTGTGTATATGATACCTTGATGCGTGCGTGTAAAAGCGATTAACGTCTTTTTCTAAAGAAATAATTTAATAAGTTCTGCTTATATTAATACTCTTCTTTATAATAAAATACATTATTCACATACTGTTCACATGTGAAAATAATTATTTTTAAGACCTGCTAATTTTTATTAATCTTTACCCTTTTGCTTTTTTCATATAGAAAATAATTAACCTCTACACATAGCTTTAGTTCTTTACTTCATTTAGATAACCTCAAATTAAAATTCATGTACAGCTAATCATGGAGCTTATAATATGAGTTTTATTCGGGTATCACTTTAGATTTTTTTTCGGCTTTTTTGTTTGTTTTTTCTAAATAAAACTTTAATATCAATAATTTCATTAAAACATATAATAATTTTGTTTTAATTGGTTTTACATAAGTGTTTCCGGTTTACAAAAGCTACGCCTTATGTTTACTTTTACCATAATGACTAGGTTCGGACCCGCGCTACAGCGCGGGGGAAATAATTACATATATATAACTTTTAACGGATTAAGAAATGTTACATTTTAATTTTATTAGAATGCAGTCGATTACAGTAAATCATATATTTTTATAATAAGTTTAAATCAAATAATAAAAGAAAAAGCGAGTAAATAATCAAATACTGAGTTTTGATACAATTATAAACACGGTGAAAATTTAACAGCACGAAATAATATTTGTCGATAAATTATTTATTTTGACTATTTTTGTAGTAAAAGTAGGAATATACGTAAAATTTACATATTTACAATATTTTTTTTGAAAGTCCAACTCGTAACAGAATTCATTTCGTAAAAAACATTATTCGTAACTCGCTTTATCATTATAATTGTGATTTTAACAAACTACCCGTGAATTATCTAAAATTTACATAGTTTGATATATAATATATTTTATCAATAAAAATTATGTCTCCAAAATTACATTTATGTCGTCAAAAAAATATTTCAATATTTTAAATTCTAAAAGTTTTATATATTTGAACCTTATATTTATAATATTTTGGAACTATTTGAAATTTTAAATATGCTCATGTAACAATGGTTTTAATATTGGTCATACTTATAATGATTTTAAACCATTGTCCAAAATATTTAACCGAGTGTAGTTGAGTATTATATGTCCGTTTTGAAAAATTCAAATTGCAACATATGCAAACTAAAAGTTAAATTTTTATTAAATATTTATATTATATAGTATAATATCATAAATTAAAAATAATATCAAATAAAAGTGAAAGAAGAATAATATTTTTTAAATAGATTGTATTAAATTAGTTAGAGAAATATTAGTAAATCTTATAATTAGTTATGGAAATAATACAATCCTAAAATTAGATTTGGAAAGTATCCGGTGTATGTATCCAAACCCATTAATTTATCCAATTTGAAAAGATCCAATTACAAATTTCGGGTAATTTTTTGAAATTAACCCGACCCGGAAGCACTTTTTGTACTTCTCTTTTACTAATATAGGGATTAATTAACACTCCTTTATAAATAGACCTACTCCATTATTGCTCTATACCCTGTCTCTCTTCAGTGACACAAAACCAAAGAGTAGTGAGAAACAAAGATCTAGGAAACTACTCGAAAGAGACGATGAAGCCATTGAATATTGCGGTTGCGCTTGCAGTGACGGTTCTTATTGGAACCTTTGGATCATCGGAGGCTCAACTTCAAATGAACTTCTACGGGAAGAGCTGTCCAAACGCAGAGAAAATCATTTCAGATCATATTCAAAAGCATATCCATCATGGTCCTTCTCTTGCAGCTCCTCTCATCAGAATGCACTTCCATGATTGCTTCGTTAGGGTATGTATTTATAATCTCTAAGACTTTAACGCCCACATATATATACTATACTTACTTGCATGTTGCAAGTGTTATGAATTATGAACATACTTACATCTATATTCATATCCAAGTTAAATAGCTTACTAAAAATGGTAAGCTACTCCAGAAGATGTATCATCATATTAAAATATATTTTCTCATATTAAGTAAATAGAAATGTAAATTTGATAGTAACTTTGAGCTATAGCTTAATTGTTTTAGACTAATTGCATTATTTTCTTCTATATATTGTTACTGAGTCTGGAAAAAAAATATAATGAAGGGATGTGATGGATCGGTGTTGATAAATTCAACATCTGGGAACGCAGAGAAAGATTCAGCACCGAACCTAACACTTAGAGGATTTGGTTTCGTAGAGAGGATCAAGACTCTTCTTGAAGCAGAGTGTCCTAAGACTGTTTCTTGCGCTGATATTATCGCTTTAACCGCTAGAGATGCAGTTGTCGCCACCGTAAGTGTCACAAAAAATAAATAAGCAACACAATTTGTTAATTAAGAAAAAAATGTTAATATAATCTTTTTTTTTTCTTAAACAGGGAGGTCCTTCATGGAGAGTCCCAACGGGAAGAAGAGACGGTAGGATCTCAAACTCTACGGAAGCTTTTAACAACATTCCACCGCCAACAAGTAACTTCACGACGTTACAGCGACTTTTCGCTAACCAAGGCCTTAATCTCAAAGACCTTGTTCTGCTCTCCGGTAACTCAACATAGCAAGGATTAGTCAAGTCACGGCTCATGTAGTTTCTTTAACGAGTTTGACATTTGTTTTGTGTTTTTTCAGGGGCTCATACGATTGGTGTCTCGCATTGTTCTTCCATGAACACTCGTCTCTACAACTTCTCGACGACAGTGAAACAAGATCCATCTCTAGATACCGAGTACGCAGCTAACCTTAAGGCTAACAAATGCAAGAGCCTTAACGACAACACCACCATCCTAGAGATGGATCCGGGGAGTAGGAGAAGCTTCGATCTCAGTTATTACAGGCTTGTCCTAAAGAGGAGAGGTTTGTTTCAATCTGATGCTGCCTTGACGACGAACTCAGCCACGTTGAAGATGATCAACGACTTGGTCAACGGTTCTGAAGAGAAGTTTTACAAAGCCTTCGCTAAGTCGATGGAGAAGATGGGGAGAGTTAAAGTGAAGACTGGCTCATCAGGCGTGATCAGGACACGCTGTTCTGTCGCCGGAAGCTAGTTTTACATATACCACATCGGAAGAGTGGTGTGTGTTCTATTATTCATTGTTGTTAATTATCTTTAACTTTTGGGGGATGTGTTAACGTTGTTACTTTTATTTTGATGTTGCGTTGAAATGTGTTTTATGCACCCAAGAATCATTCTAAATTTACAATAATCCTCTCATTACTTTGTTTTCACAATGAATAAAACACACCAAAAATTCTCCTCGAGACTTCGTCTGTGTAGAAACCCATGGCGGTCGAATATGCATACTGGAACAATCAAATACAGTAATTATATATCCATTAAACATACATGAGACAGAATTTGAAGGAAAAAAACCCACGTGTGTGGTTATTTTAAAATCTATATACAAGATGTCGAAACTATAAATACTTACAGTGTGATCGTGTTGTAAAAAAAAAAAAAGTATGTAATATTAATTATAAATATCAAAAATATATTAGTCCTATTATCACAAAATATTTTAATTAATTAAAGTATTTAACTTATGCACAAGTCAAATCCTTCGATAGTTTCTACCAAAAAAAAAATCCTTCGATAGTTGTATGAAATAAGACAAGTTTCTCCGTTAAATTAGAAACACTAAAATATATAAATACTTAACAGTAAGGATTGCAAAAAGGTGAATACAATTAATTACAAAACAAATTAGAACTTGGATTTCATCTAGAGAGAAAGAAATAAATCTAAACAAATCCTAATAAGATAAGGACTATGATTAGGGATCGTGAAACTGTATAAATAGAGCACATACGTGACTTCTTTTTCTCACCAAAACATTCATATCTATATTTCTCTCTCTCTTTCTCTCATTCAGCGAGCTGAGTTAAGAGATATCTAGTCATCTTTTTTTTTTCTTCCTGTCCATACGATCCGAATCATGGCCATGAAGAAGATCTCTGTCTTCGTGCTTGTGATCATGTTTCTCTTGGGTTGCACCTCAGCTAAAACCTACAAAGTCGGAGGTTCCAACTATGGATGGACAGTGAAGGATGACTCTTGGGATGAACATAAGCAATTCCACGTTGGAGATTCCCTCGTCTTCCAATACGACAAGAACGTCAACGACCTCGCTCAAGTTTCCACTGCTACAGAGTACATGTCGTGCGATGCTTCTTCTCCTAAAGTTGTTTACAACACCGGTCACGATGTCGTAACCTTCAAGGAACCAGGACATTACTACTTCATCACCTCTAATCATATTCAATGCGTCAATGGACTTAAACTCGACGTTGTTGTCGTACATGACCCCTCACGTCCGATTCCTCCACCACCACCGAGCAAGAACCATGAACCATCACGTCCACCACCAAGCAAGAACCAAGGGCCGTCACGTCCAAGTCCTCCTCCACCACCACCGAGCAAGAACCAAGGCCCGTCACGTCAAGTTCCTCCACCACCACCGAGCAATAGCCAAGGCCCGTCACGTCAGAGTCCTCCTCCACCACCACCACCACCGAGCAAGAGAGGAAGGTTCTACAAGGTAGGTGCTTCCAAAGGATGGAGCGTCTACAACAGTTACTACTACTACAGGTGGAGTGAAAGTAAACAATTTCGTGTGGGAGATACTCTCTATTTCGAATACAACAAGGACCTCAACGACGTTAGAGAAATCAGCGATGATCTTGAGTTCAGATCCTGCGAACCAACTTCTGCTGTAGCTGTATATAAGACAGGTCACGATCTCGTCAAGCTCACCAAACCAGGAGTGCACTATTTTGTAAGCTTAAAGACCGGTCTTTGTCAGGCCGGGATTAAGCTTCGAGTCAACGTGCTACCATCATTAACCGAAGACGATACTCTACCCAATGTTCCCAAGATTAACCGCTGCAACAGGTGGTGGAGGTGGTTATGCATTATCAGACCTCATCACTAAGCATTCGGATCAACTAACTACTCAACCATGGAAATTATTAGTTTTAAGAGGGTTTTTTTTTTTGGTGTTATTAAGAGGTTTTGGTTTTCTTTTGATTAGTCGTTACGTCGTTGAAATACAATTAATTTGTTTCATTTAAATTTTTCATATACTTTTCTTAAATTTTCGACATTTTATTTATTTTGATCATAAGAATATGAGAATGCTCATTGTGTCATAACACATGAACATGTTCTACATAACACGACACGGCACATTCGGATTAGTTTAAGGGTTTGGTTGGTGTTATTAGTTAAGTGTGTTTCTTTCCTCTTTTTTTGGTTTTCTTTTTTTTAGTCATTTAATTAGTGGTTGATATATATTTTTTCGTTGATTAATCATATGCTTTTCTTAAATTATCAACGTTTTCTATTAAGTATTAAGTTTGATCATGAGCAAATCCATAAAGTTATAGTCATGAACATGTTCCGTATGACATGTCATATGTCCATCTATTAAGATTTTGAGCAGCAACGGAAGCCTAGTAATTAAACCAGAACCAATGATGCCTCAATTGATTAACACAGTCCGTGTATATCGCAAAGAAGTATTTTTGGCTTAACTATATAATTATCATTTCAACTTTTCCTATATTCATCGTGAGTTTCACACCACAACACTACCGATTTAATATCAACCACAACACTACCGATTTAATATCAAGTTAAGTTAAGAATGTACTGTTCTTCTTTTTATCAATTGAGGACTATCTTGATGTTGTCTTTATGAAAGTGATGGTTCCTTTGCATACAAGAATCAAAAGGCCAAGAAAGTGCTGAAATCAAGGTACTTCTCACTTCTTACCTTAAGCAAATCAAAGTCTTCTCTCCCACAACACAATCATATACAAAACTTCGTTCTCCCAAAACTGAGCTATCACAATCCGTATCTATGAACAGTAGATCGCTCAGAGCCTCCGATTCTCAGACATGTACAACCGGAAGCGTTGAGTCTCGGAAGATTGAGTAGTGGTCCTAGCTAGTACTACTATGTGCCCGGCATTTGAACCATCATTAATTCATTATGTTATGATTGAATAATATTGGTGTACAAGGATTATGATTAGGGATTGTAAAGCTATATAAATAGAGTAACACATTCATCCATACTACTTAAAAAATACTCTCTGATTCAACGAGTTTAGTCTAATTAAACATCTCATCATCGTTCCTAACCATACGATCCGAATCATGGCCACGAAGAAGATCTATGGCTTCGTGCTCGTGATCATGTTTCTCTTGAGTTGCACTTGTACCTCGGCTAAAATATACAAAGTCAGTGGTTCCAAGTTCCAACTATGGATGGACAGTGAAGGATGACTCTTGGGCTGAACATAAGCAATTCCACGTTGGAGATTCCCTCGTCTTCAAGTTAGCCTAGGAGCCTCAAATGATTCCTTTCATTAGCCGTAGATTAAAAAATAAATCTGTATTATTTTATAGAAGTTGGGTGAAATCAAAATTATAGAACAATATTTAAAGTATAAGCTTTGGCTTATAATTCCTCAAACTCTATAAATATTATTTTCTCAGAGGATCGCTTCAAGGATACATCACCAAACATTATTCAAGAGCGTTGCTGACACAAGTTCTATAGCTAATCAAGTCAAGCAAATGTTATTCATAACGTCTTGAATAAACCTTTCCAAAGAAGTTTGAGACGTTCCACCATCCATCAAAGCCACATGGCATTTCTCACTCATCTCTTTCACTCTCTTCCTCACCTCACTATCCTGCTCCATCAGACACTTTATTGATGTCTCTATCTCCTCTGCTGTCACCACAACCATGGACGGTCCGGCTACATGATCACCTCGCCAGTATTTCCTTATCTCCACCGCCAATCCAAGCTCCTCCACCATCACAAAGGCGTTAAACTTCTGCTCTGCGTATAACGGCCATGCAGCTGTCGGAACACCGAACCAAAGGCTCTCCAATGTAGAATTCCACCCGCAGTGAGTGACAAATCCTCCAATAGCCGGATTCGCAAGCACGGCCACTTGAGGAGCCCAACCGATCACTCTTCCTATATCTTTAGTCCGGTCAAGGAACCCTTCCGGAAGAACATCTTCTAGATTCATAAACTCTCTTGGAGGTTCTTTAAATATATTTGGAGATGCACGACGGAGAGACCAGAGAAACCGGTGGCCGCTTCTCTCTAGCGCGATAGCGATTTCTCTTACTTGTTCCTCACTTAAACCTCCCATGCTCCCAAAGCAGAGGAACACAACCGAACTAGGTGGTTGCTGGTCTAACCACCGTAAAATATCCGATTGTTTCTCATCTTTGGAACCATCGTCTTGGTTCTGGAGATGCAACAATGGTCCAACAGGATAAACAGGAGGAGTATCACCACTCGAAAGTCGAAAGAGACTTCAACACATAAGGTTCAAGCTCAGCAACAGTATTAATCAAAATACCCTTCATCTCTCTAAATTTTCTCGCTTGATTTACATACATGGGGAGCCACATTTTAGATACAAGACCTTGAGGAAGACACTTCACCGGATAAGGACGACTCAAACTTGGAACGTTCAACACAGCTCCAGAGTCTTCATAATCACTTTCGCTAACATTGTACTTGTTCTCATCGTATAACATCTGAATATGATATCCAAGTGCGAGTATCCCTGCATTAGACGTATAAAACATATAACTTGGAACACCAAACTCGTTAGCCACATCCATCATCGATGTGCAGAACATGTCTAGGACAAAGCCAACAATCCTCGGCGAGTCCGGTAGCTTCGAGTAGTCGTCGACGAGTGTAGCAACGGCGCGTTTAACCTTTAGCACCTGGTTCTCGATATGGGTTTCAAGATTCGTCAGCTCGGCGGTTGGTTCATCTTTCTCGGAGATCACTTGGTAGCGGAGGCGGTTGTTGGATGCGGCTGAGAGTGCTGCAACGTAATCGGAAGCACCGAGTTCGCCTCCGGAAATGAAAGGAAGGATGATGATGGATATAGAAAGGCGGGTTTCATGGTCAGCTAGTAGCTTCGCTATCTCCACCGTTGATCGGAGATGACCGATTCCAGGATAGGGGATGAAGACAAGCTCAAATTTCATGTTTGGTTATTTTCTCTTCTTTGTTTCTTTTCCTCTCGGTACTTTTGTCTGAATCCTCGAAGATAACGCTCGCTGATGATAATAAGTACAAACAAAAACTCTTCTCTGTTTTGGCTTCATACGTATAATAACTCTGTTTGTTGGACCGAATAGTTCAGGCCCTTTTAGAAAAGCCCTTTCTGTAGCTTTGAAGGAACATTTTCCTTTTGATGTTTGTTTTTTTTTTTGCTGTCGATAACAAACAATTAGGAAGAGAAAACTAGAACATTTTTCCCCTTAATTATATTAATTCTAAAATTAAGCTATTTTTTATTTAAAGGTAAAATATACTGAAAAGATTAATTAATTTTATATCAAATCATTCGTTTATACGATCAAAATAAAATGTAGGTAAAATATTTATCTATATAGTAAAAAAAAAAAAACAAAGTGAGAAATTTGAAATTTACGAAACTTCTCCCCTATATATATTTTTCTTTGGGTTTGTTAGCAAACTAGTACGTTTTTGAAACATAATTATAAAGGTAGTACATTTACTATTCATAATTAGCAAAATAGTACAATTTTACTATTTCATGTATCTGTACATATAGACAACTGTACAGCAACACATTATTGTACATAAAATATTTGTACAAAGAGAAACAACTACAAAAACACATATTTACACATAAACAAATATACATATATAGACAAGAAAAACATTTGTACACGTACAATTATACGTATATATAGACCGCTGTACGGATGATTTTCCGTACAGCGACACACAACTGTACATAAGGATAGCTGGACGTATCAAAATTTGTTTGAAAAATATTATAAATTATTAGAATAAAATGCATATCAAATTATAGAGAAAAAAATGTAGATTTTTATGTAACTGAAATTTTATTAAAAACAAATTTATTTTGATTAATATTATAGTTATTAGATTTAAAGGGTTTTTTAATAATGTATAAATAGTGTCCAAATAGTAAAAATGTATTAGTTTGCTAATTATAAATAGTAAATGTACTACTTTTATAATTATGTTTCAAAAAATGTACTAAAAATCCAATTAATCCTTTTGACCAAACGTGTCATTGTTAATCAAACTATGACAAATGACGCCTAAATGTCGCGTCAGACAAAACCACAATTAATTAGGCAGTGGCCGACAATGAAAACAATATGTTCTTGCGCATCACAAACGCAAGAAATAATATTTTCTCAAAGGATTTTATCATTCAAGAGCGTTTGCATGCACCATTCTCCTAGCTATCACATGTTAAGTTATATTATTCATAACGTCTCTAATAAACGTTTGCAACGCAGTTTGAGATGATCCACCATCCATTAAAGCTACGTGACAAATCTCGCTCATCTCCTTTACTCTCTTCCTCACGTCACTATCATGTTCCACTAGAGACATGATTCCTCTCTCTATCTCCTCTGCCGTCACCAAACCCATCTTCGTTCCCCCCATTAGATCTCCTAGCCAATACTTTCTTATCTCCACTGCCAATCCAAGCTCCTCCACCATCTCAAAGGCGTTGAACTTTTGTTCTGCGTATAACGGCCATGGCGCCGTTGGAACACCGAACCAAAGACTCTCGAGGATCGAATTCCACCCGCCGTGAGTGACGAAACCTCCAACCGCCGGATTAGCTAGCACGGCCACCTGAGGAGCCCATCCGATCACTTTCCCTCTCTCCTTTGTCCGATCAAAGAACCCTTCCGGGAGAACTTCTTCAAGATTCGTAAACTCCCCCGGAGGTTCTTTGAATATATTACGAGATTCCCGACGGAGAGACCACAAGAAACGGTGGCCGCTTCGTTCCAGCGCTACCGCGATTTCTCTTGCTTGTTCCTCACGGAATCCTCCCATGCTCCCGAAGCAGAGGAACACTACTGATCTATTTGGTTGCTTGTCAAGCCACATTAAAATCTCTGATTGTTTCTCAGCTCCATCTCCGTTTTCGAGTTGCAACAGTGGTCCAACTGGATAAGCTGGAGGAGTATCACCACCACTCGATAGAAACTTTAACGCACAAGGTTCCAACTCAGCAATTGTATTTACCAAAATACCCTTCATCTCTCTGAATCTTCTTGCTTGGTTTACAAACGTCGGGAGCCATTGCTTAGATGCGTAAGCGTGAGGAAGGCACTTCACCGGAAAAGGACGAGTCAGACTAGGAACGTCCAGCACAGCTTCAGAGTCCTCGTAATCACTTTCACTCACATCGTATTTGTTGTCATCGTACAACATCTGGATGTGAAATCTAAGTGTGAGAACCCCTGCGCTCGACGTGTAAAACAAGTAGCTCGGAACACCAAACTCGTTCGCCACATCTACCATCGACGTGCAAAACATGTCTACGACCACTCCAGCGACCCTCGGCGAATCCGGTTTCGCTGAGTAGTCGTTGACGAGTTTCTCAACGACGCATCTCACCTTTGGCACGTGGCACTCTATATGGAACTCAGGCCTCGTCGTGTCGATGGTTGGTTGATCTTCGTTGGAAATGACTTCGTAGCGGAGGCGGTCGTTAGGTGCGGCGGAGAGAGCACGGACTTCGCCACCGGGAAGGATGATTACGGTGATAGAGAGGCGTGTCTCTCGCTCAACTAGTAGCTTTGCCATCTCCACTGCTGATCTGAGATGACCGGTTCCAAGAAAAGGGATGAAGACAAGCTCAAAATTCATGTTTATCTCTTTTCTTATGTCTCCTCTTCTTCTCTGTGCTTTGTCTGAATAATGGAGATGATGAAGCTCCACGTACGGCGCCTCCACTAAATAACAAATAGTTTCGGTTTCTTGTGTCCCTTTCTATCGGTTTCAACTTTTAAGACTTTTCCGAATTTTATATATTGAGTAGGTAAAGATATCAATGACTCGTCATATATAAAATCAAAAGTGTAAGTTTTATCAAAGTATTGTCCGCCATATTTACTACTACGGTTGTTTCAAGTAAATTTGGGTGGTCAAATAAAAATTTTGTTTATCATTTGATTTCGTTTTAACAATTTGTAGAATAAAAATAAAGAATAGCAAATTTTAATATGGAATATATATGAAAAAAGTATGGGTTTCATTTATCGGGGTATGAATATGAACTTCAATTTATTTTATGTTTATTTATGCTTTGGACTGGTTGGTCTTGACCTACAAGTCACAATCATTTTAAACAGCTACGTACAACACTCACAAGTCACACGACTCACACTTTACCTCTTCTATAATCATTATACAACTTGCACGTTGGAGAGTATTTGTAACTTTAAAATATTAATTTGCTAGTATCGTTTAATATAACTATTAAAATCAAATTACATAATCTATTACTGGTTTAGATATATTTGACATAGTTTAGATATGTTTGACATAGTTAAGATATGAAATTTAATAATAAGTATAATCATTCATGTGCATGCTTCAGTATATAAAGTTTTAGAACCAATAGTGAAAGATTTGATATTAAAGAATTCGTAACATCCTATATTAAACAAAAAAATCGTAATCCCAAAGTCTATAGAAATATTGTTTTAGTGATTACTCAAACAAATACAACACACGTGACATGCACATTGCCATTACTAATGATGATCATCAAGAGCGTTGCATGCTCCGGTTTATTAGCTTGTTTCAACTTTCAAGCAATATTTTTCGTAACGTCTTGAATAAAGATTTTCAAAGCTGATTGAGACGATCCACCATCCGATAAAGCCACGTGACATTTCTTACTCATCTCCATCACTCTCTTCCTCACGTCACTATCCTGCTCCATTAGACATATGATTCCTCTCTCAATCTCCTCTGCCGTCACAGTGACCGTCGCGGCTCCAACCAACTGATCGCCTCGCCAGTACTTTCTTATCCTTACCGCTAAACCAAGCTCCTCCACCATCATGAAAGCGTTGAACTTCTGCTCTGCGTATAATGGCCATGGTGCCATCGGAACACCGAACCAAAGACTCTCGAGGATTGAGTTCCACCCGCCGTGAGTAACAAAACCTCCGATCGCCGGTTTAGCCAGCACGGCTACTTGTGGTGCCCATCCAATCACCTTTCCTATATCCTTTGTCCGATCAAAGAATCCTTCCGGGAGAATCTCTTCAAGATTCTTGAATTCTCCGGGAAGTTCCTTATCTATATCCGGAGATGCACGGCGGAGAGACCACAAGAAACGGTGACCGCTTCTCTCAAGCGCGATAGCAATTTCTCTTGCTTGTTCCTCACGAAAGCCTCCTATGCTTCCGAAGCAGAGGAACACTACCGACCTAGGTGGTTGCTCGTCAAGCCACCGTAATATCTCCGAACTTTTCTCTTCTTTAGAACCGTCAACATGGTTCTCCAGATGCAATATTGGTCCGACTGTGTAAGCACGAGGAGTGTCACCACTCGAGAGAAGAGACTCCAACGCATAAGGTTCAAGCTCAGCAAAAGTATTTACCAAAAAGCCTTTCATCTCTCTGAATCTTCTCGATTGGTTTACAAACATAGGAAGCCACTCTTTCGATCCGAAACCGTAAGGAAGACACTTCACAGGATAAGGACGAGACAAAGTCGGAACGTCTAACAAGGCTTCCGAGTCTTCAAACTCAGTTTCGGTGGCATCGTACATCTTCTTATCGTACATCATCTGGATGTGTAACCCGAGTGAGAGAACACCAACGTTCGAGGTGTAAAACAAGTAACACGGAACACCAAACTCGTTAGCCACGTCTATCACCGAGGTACAGAACATGTCCACGACTAAGCCAGCGAGCCTCGGCGAGTGCGGTAGCCTTGAGTACTCGTCGACGAGCTTCTCAACAGCACGTTTCACCCTCGGGATGTGATTCTCGACATGTAACTCGGTCGTCGGTTGATCTTCGCAAGAGATCACTTCGTAGCGGAGGCGATCGTTGGACGAGGCGGAGAGGGCTGAGACATAAGCGGAAGTACCGATGTCGTCTTTGGAAAGGAGAGGAAGGACGATAACAGAGATAGAGAGGCGGGCTTCTCGCTCCACTAGTAGCTTCGCCATCTCCACTGTTGATCTGAGATGACCAATAACAGGAAACGGTACAAAGATAAGCTCAAAGTTCATGTTTAATGTCTTCATCTCTCTTTCCTTTTGTTTTGTTTGTTGTTGCTTTGTTTATATCGTAACTCGCCAATGAGATGTATCATCATATATAAGCTTCTTTCGTTGGCTCGGTTTATAGGAATAATAAAAAAGAATAAATATATCAATGTAGAAATCATAGTATATATTAATGTATCATATATAAATGATCCGATATAGTAATATTTTTCATTGCATGCGTTAGTTCCCTAGATATATTGCGAAGAAGGTGAGATTCTCTATTAATTCGAGACCGAGAAAAAGCCGCTACACCACACAAGGATGAGTCAAACTCCGAACGTGGCTTCCAAGTTTCGGGTCTTCATTTACTTTCATTTGACATCACTTTCCATATAAACGTATGCCAACAATATCTTTTTTTAAAAGAAAAAATATTCTCTTGCCAACAAAAATAGAGTCATGGTGTGAACTGTGAAGTAATGTAAACTACAAGAAATTATATATTTTGTAGGTGTGAGTAGTATAGTTTCAAAGCAAATAAATAGATTCATGCCTAAATGAGCTCATTGGAGCGTTTGTGTTATGTGCAGAGTGTAGTGCTTAACTGATCATCAAGATTAAATTACATGGAAATCAGAGAGGTAATTATATCTTGATGCTTATTACAAGACTCTATATATGCATCTATTTGCTTAGACTAGTTACATGGACTAATCATGAGTTATATATATTTTTTAGACCATAAGCAGCGTGTATCGTCTGAAAAAGAAAATAATTTATTTTTTATTTTTATTTTTAGATTTAAAAAAGAAGATAATCAATCGCGGGTCGCCACGTGTCAGTGGGGCCTACAAATAGTGAAGAAACAAAACAAGAGACGTCGCGAATGTAGAAACGTCCTTTTTTTTGATAATTTATGATTTAAAATTTTATATTTTAATGTATGGAACTTCTAAAATATACACCGATGTAGTTGCTCTTATGAAAGGAAGAATCGAACCAAACCAAACTGAAGCAATACCCAAACTCAATTACGAAAGTGATGATGGGTTATGTTTTCTTAACCGAAATCGAGCTAAAAACCGAAAATCTTGGTTCGATATTCTCATAAGGAGATTTACAGTATAACCCAACTTAGTTTTTGCATGGGCCTTTTAACTGTAATTTATGAAACGGGCCATTTTGTATTATTGGGCTAACTTTCTAAACAAAAACCCAAAACACAAAGCAGAAGAGATGATGTTCTGTCGCCGCTACGCAATAAGAAAAAACCCTAATTTCCTCCAAATCCGTCAGCGTCCTTGTGGAGTATATATACGCTTCGTCTTCTTCCAACTTTATCAGAACAACAGCAGCTGCATCTTTCTTAACTTTGCTTCTGGTTTTGATTTAACAATGAAGTTTATGGTTTTGTTTATATAATAGATTCTATCGTTTTGTAAGGCTTTTAGTTATGTTTATTGTTTGGGGGATATGGTGATGATACGAATATTTCGTGGACTAGAGTTTCTGATCTGGGCTCTTCACCCAGAATTTGAAGAAACAACCCTTGGCTGTCTGAGTATCCCATTTTTGATTCCTTTGGTTTTGTTTGGTTTTTTTGAAATATTGCCAATGATGATAAAAAACAATTATCTTAGCGGATTTCAGTGAGGTTCTTTGAATCAATGATCTGAATTTGTTACACACACTGAGGCTTTTATGTAATATGTTTTGTTATTACTTATTGATGTGTGCGATGATGATAAAATAGCACGAAGGTGCGTGAAGGGCAGAGGACAAAGCAATGAGAATTGTTTTGCCGTGAGCTCTCTTTATTTAAACGACTTCTCCTTCCACTGAGCATATTTTAGTTTTTTTCTTCTTGAATGGCGTCTTTTACCAATTCTGAAGGATTAAAAAACTGTTCCTTTAGGTATAATGGCATTGACGCAAGATTACGTTGTGGTATATCCTGATCATTTGGCTTTAAAACCATGTTATTTGATCCTGGAAATGCCTCGTACATATATGGTTTCCTATATACATGTTGGTTTAAACTTAAAATTTGGTCCGTTTGGAATGTCCGAACTTGTGTTTTCAAAAGGCTTATGGTTTTGTCCGAGGTGGATTTTCTCTATATTTCATATGATAAGATTTGTGGGTGGAACTTTGTTTGATAGGATTGTTAAATTTTTAGATGAATGATGATGCTATGTTTCAATTGGTAATTGGTGTTTCTAGATTAATATTTCAGATGAAAGACAATATGTATCAAATGGTATTGGTTTCTAGAGGAATATCTGAGATGACTGCTGATATGTATCAATTGGTATGATTGTAAAAAATTTATAATCAAAATTTTGTGGTCTGTAATAAAATGGATTGCAAAACAGTTTGTATAAGAATTTCTTTGTAATATTAGAAGGACCGGTCGACAAATGTATACAACAACTATTGCTTCTTTGGCTTTACTAATCCCATAGATGACTATTGGAGAAAAAAATTGGACTGTTTTCAATTTTGACTATCTTTCGAGTGTCTATAGCTCTTCTGTGGTCACAGTTTACAAATTAAGATGGGAAGTTTCCAGCTATTATAGCTATGTCAAATTGTCATACATTATGGATGTTTTGGTTCAATCAGTGCGTCATGGTCTCATTGACCTCGAACATACATGCTGTGGCTGTTTGAAGTGTTATAGACTTGTTGCGGACCTTCCTACAATATTTCATTAGGTATGCAGTCTCATGTTACTCTAAGAATGGACCGACCAATGAGACTTCATATTAAGAATGGACCGACCAATAATATCTCATTAAGAATGCAATCTCATGTTACTCTCCTGAGTATTTAGAAATGGCCGACCAATAATATCTCATTAGGAATGCAATCTCATGTTACTATTGAGTTTTACGAGAGACCAGTATCGATAGGCTCAGTATAATTCCACACAATGTAAGTTAACCAGTGATTGATAGGCTCCGTATAATCGACACAAATTCTACATTGTGATAGGTGACAAAGTTTAATGCTTTGTGTTGTCGGGTACAAGCTGAGAGAGATGACTTCTTCATTGGTGTAATACTTGTATCACTTGGTTTATATTATTGGTTGCTCTGTTTTTGAATTTCTCCTAAATATTTAAATTGTATTTTTCCAGATGAAAACAAAAGGTCTATTATATCCAGTTTTACAAAATTATGGCTTATTCTATAATCTCCCAAAAATTCTTTAGCATTTTCTTTATTTCATATTCCATGTTATTGAGAAATTAAAAAAAAAGAAAAGAAAGATTATCCTAATAATAATTGTTTGGAGATTCATACTCCATTTAAGCAAAAACATTTTTTTCTTTCTTTAAGTGTCTAGATTTCATTCCTTACTGGTCACTTAAAAACATTCCAATTTATAATTTTTTTTATAAAATTAAAAGATAACAGATACTCTAATTATTATATGTTTGTATGGAGAGGATGCACAAAATAGAGCTGTAATCTTCAGTATTCTAATATAGTCACAGAGTAAGAAAAACTCAAATTTATTTATTTTCTCTGCTTTTTAAAAAAAATATACCCTGAAATGAAAAAATATATAAATACTCAGGAGTCAGGATCGATCCCTAATTGTTTCAGCTTTATTTAACTTTTTTTTTTTGTTTTTTTTTCCTCTGTTAAATTTCTGTCCGACTTGTTTCTTCTTCCCTGCCGTTTAATTTTTCAATAGAAGAAGAATAAGAAGAAGAAGCTGCTTTAAGCTTCATCGATAAACCAAAGAGAGAAGAAGGCACATCGTTCGCCATGGTAGGTTTTGGATTCTCTCAGTCAGACTCTTCTTACGTATAGCTCGAAATTGATGTGTACTCATCGTTATGATCTTCGATATAATTTTTTTGATAAGAAAAGTTAATCCCTGTGAGAGTGTGGAGATTATCCATTTTGAATCGTTTGCTTCGGTTCCTTGTGTAGGAACGAGACGCTGGTGTTGTTAATCTATGTGTTTATGGGAGGTTTGCTTGACTTTTTGATTCGGAGAAAGAGGAGGTTTCGTATTTGTATATTGGTTAATCAATCATGTCTGGGTCGAGTATGTTTAAGACGAAGCTTTGTATTCTGTTTAAGAAGACTGGTAACTGTTCGAGGCCGAATTGTTCGTTTGCTCATGGTACTGCTGAGCTCCGTCGTCCTGGCGAGTCTTCTTTCCCTGGTAATGGTTTCGTTTTAATGCTTTTGGAATCAGCTATTGATTACATATTCAGGTTTATGGTTGAAGGATTCATTGAATCTCAGTAGATTAGGTCTCTTTGCTCAGACTTTTTTTTTTTGGAGTTTTGTATCATTCGTTGATGAGTCTGTGAAGTAATCTTCTCCTGGAGTTTAGTGGTTGAATTTCACTTTTGTATGATATTGTGTAAAACGTTTTAATGAAATCAAACATTTAGGTATCTCAGACTTAGAATATTGGAATTTTGTATCATTCTTTGATGATTCTGTGAAGTAATCTTCTCCTGAAGTTTAGTGGTTCAATTGCACTTTGTTATGATTGTGTAAAACGTTTTCATGAAAATCATATATTTAGGTATCTCAGACTTAGACTTTTGGAATTTTGTATCATTCTTTGATGATTCTGTGAAGTGATCTTCTCCTGAAGCTTTGTGGTTCCATTGCACTTTTTATTGATATTGTGTAAAACGTTTTCTACTTACAGTTGTCTAGTTGAAAAACACATGGTATCAGTATTATACTTATCTTCTGATTTGGTTTATTCCTTAGAATTTTCGTATACGCTTTTACTGACTAGTTTTGTTCTGCGGAATCATTTGGGAATATGGACGTTCCATTTGCAGAAAGATAGCAATTGACAGGGATTAGTATTGTTTTTACCCCGGAGTGGAATCTTCTGGTCTTTCAGGATGAAATTGATATTGGTTTTCTTTTGGAGTGGATTCTACTGGTTTTGTTAAAGCTGAAATTTATACTGGTTTTCTTATTGCTCTTGGTAGCACATTCTTTTTTGAAGAAAATCTATCATGGGTTTTCCTGGGTACATTATTCATCTACAACCATGGTTTTCACTTCTCAGACTCCAAGATTTGGTAGCAAGCAATGCTTGTTGTTAGAATTTTATCAATGCCTGCTGTTATGACTTCTGGTATTTTCATGCTGCCGGTTATGTGTGTGGAGCATGTGGTATTTCCATGATTGTTTTATCTTCAATGGTCTCCTAAAAGGTTTCTTGGATCAAGCAATATGCAGAATATGGGGGTTTGATTGTCAGAAGGAATTGAACATCACATTTTGGTGTTTTGATTGTGTAATTATATGGATCTTCAAGATTGGTTCTTTTTCTCACGTCCAACATTATCTGAAGCATTCTCAACCTATTAATTATCAATGAGATACAGTGACCTCCTCTTATTTAGTTTTCCAATGTGGGTTTTCTCCAACTGCTGGTAAGAAGAGGACATTATTTTGTGGTCTCTTTGAACTGGCGAGTCAGCACCATTACGTTTACTTGTAGTTTTCTGTGATCTTATCCAAGTGTTGTTGACTGGCATGATTCTGTTTTTTTTTTGAAATGGAGTTCACATCTGAACTAGTACTGCAAGTATGCTTTACTGCAAAGTCTGTTTCGTCTACTGCAGGCAGACGTTACAATATGGATTGTGACTTAAGAGATAGACTTGGTAGACAGTTTTCTCCAGAACGGAGACCTTCTTTAGACAGAAGTGGAAGGAGGCTACAAAGATTTAATGGTAAGATCTGCAGCTTTGGGTTTTTGGAGTTCTGTTGTCAATTAGACATTGTCAAAATTCTATGTCAACTCCTTATTCTGTATTTGTTTCTTTTGATTATTACCAACGTAATTCAAATTTTCAGGACATGAGAATGCTAGGCCATTTGACAACCGAAGGTATCTTCTCCCCTCAATTTTGCTGTGCTTATGCTAATTGAAATTTCAGTAGTAATTTGATGACCATGTTTAAAGTGCGGCTTTTGATCTCTTATCATCACAGAGAAAAAGACTTCAGGGAGAACCATAGATTTGATGAACGACGTGATTATGCTGGAGGTTTGAAAGTTGGGAATAGGATTGAAGACAGGGCAGAAGATGGAAGAAACAAGTTTCAGGGTTACAATAATGTTCTGGAAGAGCAGGTTTGAAACATTCATTTTCTTGGTTGGGTGTTTGTTGAGACTGTTTCTTCGTTTCATCTTAATCTAATGTTTAGTGGATAATATTTGTAAAGTTTTTCTAAAGGACCCTGTCTATATGCAGTTAAAAGATGTAGAGATGGATGTTAAGATGCTCACTGATGACAAACTACGATTGGAGGTAAATTTCACCGTTCCACAATTTATTTGATTGCATTGTACATACGAGTTAATTGACATATGGTTGAAACATTTATTCCAAAGGCTTCCGTTGAAAGGAAGGCACAGGAAGTAGACATTCTTACTTCTAGGATGCAGGAGCTTGAGAACCAGTTAGATAGAGAGAAAGAGGAATGTAGGAGGTAATGACTATTTCCTCCTTGATGTTTATTGAAATTGTTATGCAATATAATTGTAGTGGCGTTATTTGGCAAATCTGGGCTTGATCTTCTGGTGACAACTGACAAGTGTTGCTCAATCCTTTGGTTTGTCAGGATCACTTCAAGCACAAAGAAATTTGTGAAAGAATATAACCGCTTCTTGCGGGCACAAGATGATCTAAAGAGGCAAGGCATTTTGCCTTATTTCTGATTGTTTCCTATTTATGTGTGAAAACTTTCATTCACTAACACGATGCTTTGTTAATTCTATAGGTCAGAAGCCCGTCTTCAGAAATTGGGAAACCAACTTAGCACGTATCTTGCTGGAAGTGAAGGAAATAATAGAGATGGAAATGTGGATATTGTGAGCGATGAAGAGAACAACGGTCGGAATTTGAGTATCGCTTGTGATCCACAGAATGAGTTGCAGAATACGTCTTCAATGTCTAGGAAAAAGCGTTATGTGGATCAATATACTACAAAAGAAACTGTTGAAGATGGTAAACTTACCTGTATTTTCATCTGTGTTTGAACTTAATTCTTGGTTCGTCAGTTCATAGAGACTATAAACTTTATCCATATGTTTCAGGCTTCATAGGAAGAGGTGAACAAGAGAGGATGGAGAAGGAGAAGGAGAAGAAGAGACCTTCTCGTTGGAATACGGTTTCTTCCAAATCATATTCTGAAGAAGAAAGTGGTGCGTGGAACGATGAAGACACAATTAACAAGTCCTCATCAAAGGAAGACAACTGGAAGAGGAGAAGGTATTCTATTGGCACCTCATCTACTGATAAGGTACGACATTCTTCTTCTTCTGCAGAAGTGGTGTTCACTTGAACTGTAAGGATATGAAATTGGTGCTCAAGTTGCTTCTTAAAGCTTTTGATGTTCTTTCACGTTAAAGATGTGTTTTTGTTAAAAGTGGAAATAATAGAATTTGTTACATGGTATTGGTGCTGTAGGTAATATCGTCGATGAGCATGGCAGCTCGGGTATTTGATGATGTTGCAGAGTTTGAGGAAGAGATTCCGGAAGCAGCCAAAAGCTCTCCTCTCATATCTCTTCCTCCACCCCCACCTCTCAGAGATGCCCATGTTCAGGTAAGCATGAGTAGAAGATTCTCGAAAATTTATGGTGGTAAACTAATTTCTCCAGAACAAAACTACTCGGAGATGATGACGCTAACGAAATACCGTGTGCTTTGTGTTCAGGGAGAAGAGGCGGATGTAAACGTTGATGTCATGGAACAGGGGAAAGCCAATGACCTTGATGACTCCGACTGATCATAAGAACCGCTAAAATTTGAACACTAGAAAAAAAGCCTGTTGTTTTTTTTTTTTTTTTTTTTGGTCACCAAAGCCTGTTGTTTTAAAGTAACCTTTTGGGGGTTTTAGGCGAGCTTTACATTTTATTCGGTGCAATATTAACAATGGTTAGAATCCGTATATGTTTTTTTGTTCATCATCTTTAGACTTCGACTTCGATAATTTATATAAAAAATTACTAGCTCCAATATGATGAAATTCTGCAAGTTCCTTTAAGCGTCGAGAAAATTTTCCATATGCGCATAATTTGATTAATCAATGATCTGATCACTATAAAGGCAAAATTGACAGTTTCTGTTACTTTTGAAAACATAAATTAGGCTTCAAACTGATGAAGAATCGTCCAGACACTTCGAGCACTTGCAGCTGAAACCATAGTCTGCAAGTAATGCTTGTCTCTCTTTGTACGGAAGCTCCTCGTCTATATACGAAATCGTCACCTGTTGTTTCACATATGGAACTCAAAAATCAAAAACAAGTTCTCTTTTTCAAAATATTCAACTGCTACGATTAGAGAGAAGATGCGTACCTCTTCGTTCTTGCTGATGCTTCTTAACGCTAATATAACTGCTTGTCCGTCTCTGTCCTGCAAAACACACAAGACAAAAAGCGTTCCACATGGAGGAATCGAGTTCAGTCCCAAAAGTGTTGATGAAAAATCTTAAATCCTTTAGAAGTATTATAGATCATAAAGAGAAAGAAGATGTAAGCAAGATACCTCTTCTCGTTTGAAGGCTTTTGCATTAGGGCAACAAGAATGGTTCATACAGCTCTGCAGAGGGAAGAAGGCCGTTCCTAAAACCCAAAGATGGATGATGCAATAATGTTAAATCTTGGTTACAAGTTACCAAACTCCTCTGTTTTGTGATGACAATATTCTTTTCATTTCTAACCTTGGCAAAAGTCCGAGAACTCATCACCAAGAGCATCTAGAAACGGTCTTGTAATTTCCTCAGCTTTTTCCTATGATAATGAGAAAAAGAAACTGGTAAGAGTCGATAGATTTTGGTCAAAGAATAACAACAATGGGTACAAAGCATTATTCTGTTCAGACCTTGTCTGCATCAGGAAGATCATCAATATACAAGAAATAGTCCTCTACTGGTGATGCTACCACCAAGTCTCTGCCAAAGATCAAACATATTATGGGTAAATTCATTGTACATGTAAGGATATAAACAGGAATTGACAACTCTTACAGGTTATTCAGCTCAAACATGCCGATGATATTCCCATAGATTTCAAGGGAGAAAACTTTCCAGCGTTAAGGAATAACTCTCTGTGAGTCAAATATATAAACAAGGAAACGACGGTACAGATAATATATCAAACTGACAAGGGGGATACGGGCTTCACATTCTTTATCAAATATGGCTGTCTTCAGGAGCTCCAAAGACTGGAGATAAAAAAATGTCATTTGGTGGGCAAAACAGTCAGGATCCGCAGCTTATGCCACTGCAATTGTGATCTCTACACAAAGCACAGCAACTAAACTCATTTATCAAGTGATATGTACAAATGAAACACCTACCGTAAATGCAAGATTCTTTATTTGCATCCTGAAGGCTCCTTCATCAGAAATATCAACATCTTCTGGCAATGCGATGCAGTCCCACCACCTACCAAAAATAAGAATAGAGGATTAGATATTTCACATGTGGCATAAATATATCACACAAGGAACCTGTTATGTATGATCATACAGTATGTAATTTAGATCAATTTTATCACATGTAGAAACATAGAGAAAGAAAGAAAAGTGATTCATGCTCTTCCATAATATACAAGACTATCTAATTGCACATCAATTTATACCTTCTTTTGTATCCAATAGAAACTGGCTTCCATGCCTCCAAGAGTAATGAATGATTTGGCCCACTCTGTTTTGCTTTTTTGTTCACGTGTTCGGCTTTCAATTTCCTGTACCTTAGAATGGTAAAGGCAATCGCCTAGCCATAATACATTATCCACAGCTGGTTAGTTCTTTTCTTCATATTGTGAGGAAAGGGTATATACTAGAGATAATAAAAGATTGGAACTTGCATAAGCATCACAGATCTCACTGTAAACTAATATATTTTATAAGCTCCTTGTCAGTTTATCTAAGATAATCAAAAGGTAGACATAACAACAGATAGAAGATATACCTTGGCAGCCAGGATGAAAATATCATTTGTCTCTGAAAATTAAGAAATGATAAGATATAAATAAAGTTACCTCAAGACTGAAAAGGCAATTTCAACTAAAAGAAACTTGGAATTATTTTACCATTAGCATGTTTTATAAACTCTCCAAGAGCCTCTCGAGATATTGATGCAGACCTCTCACCAGTGCAAAGTAAAGAGTGAGAACTTTCCCAATCTGCCTCTGCGCATGATTCACTGTGTCATATCGAAACAGCACATTAGTATTAGTATGCATAACTTACAAATGCAAAAACAATAATGATATACGAAAGCCGAAGACATCAAATCTCATTTACCTACAATAGAAAGCCTCCTGACATCCTCCAGGACACGAAAGAGGCGAAGGCAAAGGAAACTTATCAGCGTGCGGCAATGCCATTTCCCCATTCATCAGAGAACTAACAACTCCTTCCGGAAGAGTATGATGGCTTGAACTGCTTCCACCACATTGTTCCTCATTCCCAATGTACTTCACAGACTTATCTTCTTCACTTTCAGATGAATCACCAACGCAACAACCAGAAAGACCAAGATTCTTAAAAAAGAGTTTCCGGCCAATTTGTTTCTCGATCGATCCAACAAACCGGAAACAAAAACTGCAAACCAAACAATCCACCTTGTTGGATGAATGCTGGATGCCAACAAGAATCTGATCTTTCAAAATGAGTTCATCTTCTTGAAACTCTGAATTAGCATAAACACCTAACCAATACGAAGGAAACAGATTCAATACACCCAACATTGCAGCCATTGAGATTCTTACAAAAATTCAATACAAAAATTAAAACAAGAAACCAACCTTTCCCAGTGGTTCCATTGTGTTTCACTTCAATTCCATTGCATCCTCTACTATTTATAAGCTTTTGAAAATACTCCTGAACAACAAATTGAGAAACCAGTATCGAGCTCAGTCACTATAAGCTTCCATTATGATTATGCTCAACGAAGATTAGCATCGAACATGCTTATATATATATAGAGAGAGAGAGAGAGGGAGAGAGGGATTTTGCCTGAAGTTGGAGAGCTGGAAGCGGAGCAAGAAGAGCGGCGACGTCGGCGGAGCTATTCTCGTCGTTTTTGCAAACTGAATCCATTAAAATGGCCGGAGATATTCTCGCGCGGCGGCGCGTGTGTGTGTTTTTTAGTTTGGTGTTCTTTTGAACTGTTTGGGTCCAAAGATCAGAGAGAGACTCTTTTGGAGTGGAGATGAACTACCCGACCCGGACCTGATCCATACCCGTTCTCAGATTTTCCTTTCTCGTATTTACCAAATTATTTATTTGGAAATTTTAGTAAATTTACTAAAATATTAAAAAAACATATTTGGTATACGTAAAAGAACATATTAAATATGTAAATTGTTTTCTATAATATTTTATATAATTAAAAAAAATATTTTTAGTTTTTAAATAATCAAACTACTTAATCGAATATATATATATTTTGGATAGTAGTGTACATTTAAATTACGTATCACTTTTTTAGTTCAATAGTATTTTAGATAAATACGTTTAACATATAGCTAGGTGTTAAACAAGCCAAAACTATATATCAATTAATATTGTAAGCAAATGCAATATACAAGTTTTGTAGTATATCACAACAATAAACGAAATATATATGTATAGGTTCATTAATGGATTATTGAAATTAATAACAAGCACTGTGATAACAAATATATCCAAACGTTCTCACACATCAAAGTAATCCCAAAGAGATATCCAAATCGAGAAAAGCTTGAAAAATTGGAGTTTGCATGTTAAACCAGAAGGTATAATAAAAATAGAATTGAGGAGATGACAAAGTATGAGTATGACTTTCTTATTTACTTACTACAAACAAACCCAAAATATTCAATAAAATCTGCAAAGTTAGAGATTATTTCTTCCACGAATATGATATGATGAATTGATGATGATGATATATCTAATGAGATGAGGAAGAAGAAGCCTTCTTCAGTTCTTCTTGTCCACAATAGAAGTTCCTGTGACTTTGATCATAGAGTTGAGTCGCTTATCCATCTTTAGATACTCAATCGTCTTCATATACTTGGGATCTATAACTACTCCATGATTTGCAACGTCCTCCTTCATTTTTTTCTCCAATTCCTAGTTTTTAGAAAGATGATGATCATATCCAATGTTTTCATAGAAAGAAAGAAAAAACAATATTGAAAAGTTGCAAAAATATATTATGTCAAAACAAAACATTTTACCTTAACTTTCTCTTTATCTACTTCTGGTGCTTGCATGATACGATCCAATTCGGCTTCAATCTCAGCCTCAGTAAGAACCATTTCTTGAACTTTCTTTTTTGCTTTTGTGTTTGGGTAGTACAATTATATGTAGAACAATAGTAGAACACTTCTTTATAATTATTTTTGTGTGTTCTTGTTACTGATGATCTCCTCATTTTATAGATGTATGTGTGTCAAGTAAGTCACTAAAAAGCTTATGTTGATGTTGTAATATCTAGGAAACTCTTGCTTTACAGTGTTTGTTTACTCCAATATTGTTTCGTATGTAATTTCTTTATTTATCCATTGGACTTTAATTTATAACCACGTACCGATTGACTCTAATAATTTTGGTTTTTTTACAAAAAAAGTGCACTATATATGATGATGATAAGTCTAAGATACACACACATAACTACGCGTTTTCAAAGTTTCTAAAAATGCATAAATAACAAGTCGTCTTTACGCATTTTAAAGACATGCACCATGTTTATATAATCTGATCCTGTACTTATAATATTTCAATAATTGTGTGTTTGCAACAAACCCATGCAAAAAGAAGAAATTTCCATCGTATTACACGGCACTATAGTCTTTGATTCTCTAACCCCTTTTCTATATCTATATTTGTTTTTTTTTTCTTTATAAATACAAGAAATTTCATCGCATTTGTTTGTTTTCTTGATACCACAACATGTAGCAATTGGGAAACTTCTGCAGTCCGCACTCAGTTTATGATAAAATCCGAAATAAATACAATTGGCAACGTCAATGAACTAATGAACAAAAATATAAAAATTATTGCAAAAGACTTGTGCAATACAAAAAATTACAAATTGTCTAGAAATTAAATATGCTTTTTGTGATTGTTCATTAAAAATATATCATAACTAAATCCATTTACATGCAGTCTCATAAGAAGGATATCTAAAGTTTTATGCGTATCATTTTTTTTTTCTGTTAAACAATAAGTATCATTTTAAATATACATCTTACATGGTTGAGCAAGCCATTACCTAACAAAAATTAAAATCAAAAGATTTTTTTTTTTTTTTATCAATCAAAAGATTTATATGAATACAAAAGTTGTTTAATATATGTCTACGTTCATATTTGGATTATTGAAATAAACAAGCACTTGCCAATGACCGTGTATCATTTTAGTATCACAATAAGCGAAATATATGATTACGTAGGTTTCATTATTGGATTATTATAGAACGTAGATGAAGTCATCATCATCCACATTGATAATCAAGAAACTGAAATTAAATAAACGCACACACTTAATAATATAACAAGATAGAAAGCTGCTTATAGTTTTTTCTTGATAATCCGCTTCTCAATCAAGAGCCCATTTATTTTCTCAAGAACCTCTCTTTCTTCCTCATCTGTGTATCCCTTCTCAATGTTGAAGTCTGTGAAAATCTGTTCCACAGTTTTTTCTGTGATCATATCCGCCATAGCTTGGCAGGCTCGGTCAAGAAGGGTTTTGTTGTCTAGGTAATTCGCAGCAAGAATGAGTGCCAAGAGGGTGGATGGATCGGTTTGCAAATTCATGAACCACTTGTCGTCCCACGTCTTGAGATCTTCGGGTTTCTCACGATCGACGTGGTGCTTGATGCAGTACTCCGTCACCAACGCAAGAATCTTGCCTTTCACGTTTGTAAGCGGGACACCATTGTTGGTGTTCTCGTCGTCAATCCAATGAGCTATGGTCAGGCATTGTCTTGCGACATCTTCTTCGATCTGAAACTCTACATTATCGGAGCTCTTCAACACGATCATCTTCGTCGACATTTTTTTATTTTCTTTCTCTGGAAGCAATGTGATGAAAAGATTTGAAGAATTGAGAGAGCGATAGAATAAAAAAAGTTGATGATTTGATGAAGGTTATGAACCAATGCGTCCGTTTAATTTATAGGCCATATTCGTAGATGTATTGCGTCAAGTAAGTCACAAAACAAAAGCATGAAGTTGTATGTCTACTCATGTTGATGTTGTTCTTACACAACATCTATGATATAGTTACGCTTTTTTTTATGTGTCTTTTTGATCAAAACCACAACTTTTTAAAAAATTAGGAAATGCGTGTTTTGTAAAATTTACTCCTAAGTTTTGTTTGTAATACCTTTTTTTACCCATTGGAGTAACCACCGACTCAAATTCTCATATTAACTTTGTCATTAGAATTGCACTATGATGTTGTTTACGCGTATGCATGCAATATATGTAGTCTTTGATTCAATTACGAAACTTCATCCCCACAGTTTCATTTGGATATCCAGTGTATTCACATAATAAAGTATATGAAGTTTTACTTTATAATAAAAAAATAAAATACAATTCTCTTCAAGCAATTTTGTAGAAGTAATATACTTTGTCAAATAACGAGACTTTTGTTTATTTTCTTAAAGATTTGTGACTAAGTTGCTAATACAAAAATTACAAACTTGGATGGATACTTTCACAGAGGCACTCGCAGTAATATCTAACTCCAAATATATCAAACTTTTAATTTAGACACAATAAAAAAAAAAAAAAGAAAAAAGAAAAACAAGTTTCAGCCTAATAGACACACTCGATCATTGATGCTGAAGTCAGGACTCAGGACAATGTATCTTACACCTCTCTTTTTGTTGACAATCAAACACATCCAAAGAACTGTTCTATTGACTGCGAGGTGAACACATTTGGAGCTATTCGCTCCGGTTTCACGGCAGCGACTTGAAGCTGATATTTGATGAACCTCTGTGAATAAGCACGGAGTTAGTGAACTGAAGAAGCTAGAAAAGATTATATATGAGTAAGAAAGGAAAAGACTTTACAGATAGTTGTGTGTTGATTTCTGGATTTGTATCGATATGCCAGTCAGGTTCTAGTTGTCTGACAAATGAAGTTCTTCCGATCTCTGTACTACAAAAGAGAACCTGCAAATTCATGTTACAGAACTGTGATTATTGGTAGTTTGACAAAACCATTTCGACTTTTAACTAGTGTTTGCATGGTTGAGGACAGAGAATTTTCAAATAAGCCATGCTTCGATACAATTATAGGAAAGCTTTCTGAAATAATTCACGGATACAAGACCGTCTAAGAAAGCCTGATATGAATACCTTTTCTTTGACCAAACCACCAGATGTGAAAATGCCTGCACTTTCTAAAGCTTCTAGAACTCTGGCCTGCATATTAGAGCTCAAAATGTCAGTTTCAGAAACTAGTGAAAATAAAACCACTTGCTCCAACCGGGAAAAAAAATATTATACAAAACACGAACGCCTCAAGCATTTAGTTGCACCAATGAACTCAGCTCTCTTCCTCTAAATATGTAAAGATATGTGCTTAAGAATCCTTCTTACAAAACAGTATATATTGCTCAAGTATTAGCTACAGGAATCCATGTTATGACAGAGTCCGGAATTTTAAGCTAACCGTGTTTAAAGATAACCACAACTAGTATGCTATGGATACTAGAGCCTAGTACCAACAAAAGAACAGGAATGAGAGGAAACATTGACTGAAAAAGAAATTACTGCTCACTTCGCTTTCATCGTCAAGTACTCTTTCCATGAGGTATAAATCACTAAACTTTGTAATCTCTAGGAGAACTTCCAAAACAGATGACCTCACTGTCACTTGTTTCTGCATAAAATTGCTTTGAGTCAGGTTCAGAAGCATAATGCAATACTCAAATGAATGTCAAAAAGGAAGTATTATTACTTGGAGTTCTTCTGGACTTGTTTCTTCAAGAATTACTCCAAGAAGACGGCATGTTACCTACAAATGCATATTAGAAAACGGTGAAGCTCAACACAATAATGAACCTAGCCTAGTGCTTAAACTCGTATATAAAACAGCTATCGATCATTTCACATCGTCAAAGCCTATATGCAGCTCAGAGAAAATACAACACCAGAAAATAAATTCACAACATTATCAATCCTGAATAGCAAATTACCTTCCTTCCTTCACTAAGCTTCTGCCTAACTATTTGCCCCAAAGTAGGCTGCAAAACAAAACCAGCAATCAAAACCAACAGAGAACAAAGTAAATACTGCAAACACAAAATTTCAGAATTGTGTAGAAAAAAACAAAAAGAATGTTACTTTAACAGGTTGAAAGAACTGATCAACAACATCTTGCACCGCATTATCCTCATGAGGCGAAGAAACCTCAGGAGGTACAGAAGCTAGATTCGACTGAGCAGCAGCAGCAGCACTAGACGATTCAGGGGATTGCATCCTCCGCTTCGGCTGCCTTCTTTGCCGTTGTTCCCCTGGCGTTCTAATCGCCCTCCACGTGAATATCACCGCAATCGCCAGCCCCGCAATCGCACCAATAGATCTTGAATCCTAATCCCAAATAAACATCAGCAATCAAAAACAAATCAACTCACTTTACTAATTCAAAAATTGGTACTTTATTCCCCAAAACCAGCTAAATCACTCAAATTTGAGCTGAATCGTAACATTACGTAACTAGCTTCATCAATTTTGAAGATTTCAATTGGAAAAATTACTTTCCTCCCTAATTCCACTAATCAAAGTCAAAATTGGATTCAATTCCCAACATACCCAGATCCGATACAGAAACAGAGTAAACGAGAGAGAGGGATCGAGAAGAAGAAAAAAACCAGATTTCGAATCGATGTAGTTGAGAAGAGGCTTGACATTTTGAAAGCAACGTAAGCGCTTAAACGCTTAATCAACCGGACGATCTCTTCAGTAGGCGACGGCGAAGACGATTCCGCCATTTTAGTCTCTTACGTCTCCCTCAAAACCCAGATTTCCAAATACGTCGTCGTTTTAAACACGAGAATCCGAACTATGAGATGATTCTTAGCTTCAAGCTTTTAGATATGGAAGAAACGAAAGAGGCACTGTTCTCGAGCTTCTTTAGAGAGAGAGAGAGAGATAGAAGAATTGTACTTTTCCATAGAACACAACTAGGCAATGTCAAACTGTAAGGACACGTGTACGTTTTACACGTGGCAGTAGATAAGAATGTGAGACCATGGTTTGTTCGGTAGGGTGCGATGGATCAGAATCTATAAGCGATGAAGGGATGAAACGTAGCGTTTTGATTTTGTTTTCGATAAATTTTTACACGATGAAGTTGGAGATAATACGAGGAGTAAGAAATTAGGAAACTAGAATTGGTTTTCGATTTGTTGTTGTTTGATACTTAAGCCAACAAGTAGTGTAATTTTACAAGTGAATAGAATGAAACAGACATAAATATGTATAACAAAAACCATATGTGAAAACTGAAAAGTGTAAGAAAAAGCTTCTCTCCATTAGTTGAAATTTACATAAGTAATCAAATTTAACCAGTTTACATTATTAATCTTAGTCATGGTGTAGCATAAAAAAATGAGTTATACATATTAGTTTTTCGTAGCTTGAATGTAAAACGACTTCTTAAATAATGAAAATTATAAATCGAAAAGTTAGTTGATAAACTTTTTCTGTCAACCAAACGCGCTCAGTTAAAAGATAATAGAAAAAAACGTTTGTATACATATCAAACATGTAACGATGATAAAGACGATGTAGGTTAGAGACTCTCTTGCATTGGTCGATTATCTTTAAGGGAAGAAACATCGTCGCCGTTTTGTAGCGTTTCTTTTTCGAGGTGAAAGCAATAACTTTCAAAAACTCTAAAACTCACTGTCACTCTAAAGTCAAGGAGAAAGAGAAGCTCCAACTCCATTTTGTTCAAGTCTGCATTGCTCACGCCTCCTACCCGAGCATAGAACTCATTGTTGTAGTGCCTGTGAATCTAAAATTAGTTAAACACATATCTTGTCATCTAATACATGTAAAAATAAATCAAGAACTCAAAAGTGGCATTTGACTTAGGTTACAAAATTTGTCTTAGATATAATAAAGTATATTTCATTTTTAGAAATAGATGAAGATACACAACAATATATTGTTTTATAATCAGTCTAATTCACAATATATGAGAAATTGAAGAAAGGCTTAATTACTTACACGTCGTCTAGTATCTTGGAGGCAATCATGACACAAGTGACGAGGAGTCTATGAACATTCAAGGACACAACCAAAGAACCAGGATACTTATGAGCCAACCGGTCTATGTACACATACCCGACAACCAAACACGACGGGCTACATTTTGTGTACTTATATATCCTCTCAAGGTACTTTGCTATACTTATGCTCGGTGCTCTCACGCCGTGAAACGCCTCCAAGCTCTTCCCGAACCCCTTAGTTTGCTTAGCTAACCACTCGTTCCGTGCCACGAGCTTCTCCATCACATGGGAGATTATAGTCAGCACTCTTGGAGTGGCTGTTTCCGTTGGCGGCTCTGGTCCCACGACCGGGTCCAGTAGTTCATCGTCTCCGGCTGCGGTTAACATGGGTTTGCTTCAATTCTCTCGTGAATGGGCCATATGTTGTATCGTTCGTTTTGGGGTCTGTACTTGTAGATTGGGTGGTGGAGATACGATGAGCTTAAGATGTTGTTACATGGGGATGTTATCATGTTTTCGTCTGACGTTGGACCAGCTTGTGTGAGATGGGTTTGACACGTGTAACTTCACGAGAAGATAGGATTCTGATTAGTGCTCTCTTAGGGCATCCTCATTGCAAGGATCTTAGGGGTAAGGGCATGGGCATTGCAAGGACCTATTCCTTGGTCCCAATATTTTTTTATCAATTTTTTTTGCAAGGGACAAATGTTAAATATTTTGGTACGAGCATTGGTGTCCTACGTAATTCGTCCCACGGAAAAACCACCAATTTTTTATATTTTTATTTAATTTATTTTAATTTATAAGTAAAAACATTTGAAATATTAGATTAATTTATAACATATTAAGAATGGAAAAAAAAAATTAGAAAGTTATAAAAACATAAAAAAGATAAAACATACAATAAAGACATTAAAAATGGTAGGAAGAACAAAACTTTTGAAAAATGTTATTATGAAATTGAGTTGAAGTTGTGAGGAATGGCTTCTCTACTCGCTTGCATATATATAGACAAAAGTTTTAAGGTTTGGTGGAGCAATATTCTTACCCGTGGAGTTGTGACAAGCTTTATCCGTGACATTGTGTATCAAAACAAGAATCATATCACTTTATACAGACAAATACAACAAGTTTATTCCTGGTGCCAAGTTTGAGATGGTCATAAACATCCTACTTAAAATTGACTTGGCCACTATATCTAGTCAACAACGAGAAGAGATAATGAAAACTAGCAAGCTTTATACAACAAATAAATATAATCATACTACAAATGCTTTTCCATCTTTGATCATGTTGG